TATACATATACCATATCTTTATCCATTATTCCACTGATTGACATTAGGGCCCTTTCCATACTTTGGTTATTGTCAATAGTGCTGCTATAAACATTGGGGTATATGTGCCCCTTCGAAAGAGCACACCTGTATCCCTTGGATAAATACCTAGTAGTGCAATTGCTGGGTCGTAGGGTAGTTCTTTTTTCAATTTTTTGAGGAACCTCCATACTATTTTCCAGAGTGACCACACCAGTTTGCATTCCCACCAACAGTGCAAAAGAGGTCCTCTTTCTCCACATCCTTGCCAACATTTGTTGTTGCCTGAGTTGTTAATGTTAGCCATTCTGACAGGTGTGAGGTGGTATCTCATTGTGGTTTGATTTCTATTTTCCTGATAATGAGTGATGTTAAGCATTTTTTAATGTGTCTGTTAGCCATCTGGATATCTTCTTTGGAGAAGTATCTATTCATGTCTTCTACCCATTTCTTCACTGGATTAATTGTTTTTTGGGGTGTTGAGTTTTGTAAGTTCTTTACAGATTTTGGATACTAGACCTTTATCTGATATGTCATTTGCAGATATCTTCTCCCATTCCATCAGGTGACTTTTAGTTTTGCTGATTGTTTCCTTCACTGTGCAAAAGCTTTTCATTTTGATGAGGTCCCACTAGCTCATTTTTGCTTTGGATTCCCTTGCCTCCAGAGATGTGTTGAGTAAGAAGTTGCTGCAGCCAAGGTCAAAGAGTTTTTGCCTGCTTTCTCCTGTAGGATTTTGATGGCTTCCTGTCTTATATTTAGGTCTTTCATCCATTTTGAGTTTATTTTTGTGTATGGTGTAATAAAGTGGTCTAAGTTCATTTTTCTGCATGTCCCTCTCCAGTTTTCCCAGCACCATTTGTGAAAAGACTGTTTTTACTCCACTGTTGTTTATTTCCATTCCATTGATATTCTTTCCTGTTTTGCAAAGATCAGTCAGCCATATGATTGTGGGTCCATTTCTGGGTTCTCTATTCTGTTCCAATGATCTGAGTGTCTATTTTTGCACCAGTACCAAAGTATCTTGATGATTACAGCTTTGTAATACATCTTGAAGTCCAGGATTGTGATGCCTCCAGCTTTGGTTTTCTTTTGCAAGATTGCTTTGTCTATTCAGGGTCTTTTCTGGTTCTGTACAAATTTTAAGATTGTTTGTTTTAGTTCTGTAAAGAATGCTGGTGTTATTTTGTTAGGGATTGAATTGAATATACAGAGTGGTTTGGGTAGCATAGACATTTTAACAATATTTGTTCTTTCAATCCAGGAGCATGGAATATTTTTCCATATATTTTGTGTCTTCTTCAATTTCTTTCATAAGCTTTCTATAGTTTTCAGTGTATTGGTCTTTCACCTATTTGGTTAGGTTTATTCCTAGGTATTTTATGTTTTTTAAGTGCAATTGTAAATGGAACCTATTCCTTGATTTCTCTTTCTGTTGCTTCATTATTGGTGTATAGGAATGCAACGGATTTCTGTACATCGATTTTATATCTTGTGACTTTGCTGAATTCATGAATCAGTTCTAGCTGTTTTTTCGTGGAATCTGTTGGGTTTTCCATGTAGAGTATCATGTCATCTGCAAAGAGTGAACGTTTGACCTCCTTCTGAATGATGTGGATGCCTTTTATTTCTCTGTGTTGTCTGATTGCAGAGGCTAAGACTTCCAATGCTATGGTTGAATAACAGTGGCGAGAGTGGAAATCCCTGTCTTGTTCCTG